TAGTCCTAGTAGCTTCACATAACACCCTTAAGCCTCACAGACAGACTATCAAGCATTGGATACTAGATTGTGACACAAGCAGCAACCCTCTGTTTCCTTTACAGTGAACTGAGATTTAGACTTTCCTGAAGGGTTGTCTTTTATTTACTTTGATGTTAAAAACTGCTGACTTGCAACCAAGTAGTAATTATGTGTTTTGGAGGCACCGTCTCCACTCTTCTGTTTGAGATGTGAAAGCAGCAGCCCTCTGGCACTAGTGTGTGTGGAACATTTGTGGTTATTCTGTATTGATTCATGCTAACTATTACTTGTAAGATCTGTGTACCAAATATGACTCTTTAAATTTCTGCCCCTGCCCCTTTTGCCCAGTACTGCTGTTTGCCTAGTAATTGCTATTTTAGCACATGCAGTAAAACTGTGGGCAATTACAGTGAGTTCTATCAAAAACTAGGATACATGTGATTATTTCATCTGACGATGGTCTAACTGGTTAACAATATAGATATATTCTATAGCTAATTTCTCAGTTTCTAGACTTCTTCATTTTCGTGCATATTCTAATAACAGATTTTCCTTTATTCAGCCTTGGTAGCATAGGACTAAAAACGTAAATTGCATCTACATTTCTTATCAAGATTTTAAACGTATTTAATCGTTAATGGCTGCAATTAAAATCTATTTAATTATTGTGCCTTAACTCTTTATGAACATGACAATTTTAAAATGTGATTGATTGTGCAAGGCTAAAAAGTAACTAATGGCCAATGTTCTAATGACAGAGCGAAGAAGGGCTTTAGAGAACGAGATTCTTCACACTTCCTTTTGGTGTTTTGCTTATTGCTGAAGTTAAGACCTGAGCTCCTACTAAGGCTTGGAGAGCTTTCAATTGAGTTATAATTCAAGCTCACATAGCTCTTACAAGACACCTTGAACAGACTTTTGCCGATGAGTCTAAAGGAGCTGTCAGCAGTGGGGAGATTACTTCAGAACTGAGATTGTTGAATTGAACTTTACTTTTTGATGTTTTGCCTTTTGAATTAAATTGTTGGACAAGATTAATTGCACACAGTAAGAGCTTTAAATGAATAGCTGTGTAAAGCATTAAGTTTATAAGTATGTCACATGGGAAAAAAGCTGGAAGGTTTAAATGAATAAATGTATTTAATGCATAAAATGTCTAGGCTAATTTTTAATTCCTTTACTAACATCTTTTATTGAAAATAACATACTTTATTCATCCATCTTAGTTATATTGCTGTGGTGGTGGTAATTTAATATTCCTGCTCCTTGCTAATCTTCTGGTTCAACAGAAGTAAACAATAGGTTTCATAAATTAAAAATACGCTCTTCAGAACATGCTTCTAAAGATAAAAAACAAGGCTGTAAACATTTATGACTGAAACAAACTAGATTGTTCAAATACTGCCATGATGTATCATGTATATCAATATGGCACTGATATCAGTTAGAATGCAAACAAGGTTTTAAATGATGTGCCCCTTCATTTCAGCTGGAGAATCCGCTTTATGCCATCTGCCTATCAGATGGTTAGGAACCAGGACTGCGTATTAATGCCACATGTTCGATTTTCCTCCCTCTTGTAATGGTTAGATTCATATTGCTAATAGCTGTGCATGAGCACTGTCGATGAAATTTGTGTGACGATGGAGTGATGAGATAGCCAGACATAAACAGCTTATCAATTTCAGAATATTAATGATAACTACCATTGACTTTAATCTACCAAGTATTTTGACATGTTTCTTTATAGTTTTCAAGCAAATATTAGTAAATAAAAGAAAAAATCATATCGTTTATGCTACTGAATGTCCAGTATAGTTGTTGTTGCTTACTACATTTTAAATTGCCTGTAAGGGTGACCTTTGGTCATTTAAGTTTTGGAATCACAAATTACATAATCATAATGAGAGGGTACTATTGTATATATTACATGTAATCTTTGCAAGACTAAGCCACCTAATGTCAAAGTGGACTGGTACAGTGCACAGTTTATCCTTTTTTAAGTAATAATTTCAGAACATTTTTTAGTTAACAGAGTTTTTGAGTTTATGTTCAGCATTTCCTGGCTTGGTACAGACATTCAAAAAACCCAAGATAAAACTGATCTAAGTTGCATGGTTTTCTGCAAGTGGCATAGTTTAGATTAGTAGTGAAAAGAACATGTTTGCCCTTTGGGGTGAGGGGCAAATCTTAAAATGGATTCTGCCATTTTTAAATCTGTATATATATGCTGAACTTCCGTCCTGTTACTGGTAAAGACTGATTTTGTGTGCCAAATTTCTGTCCTGTTACAGGTATAGACCAGTTTTTAGTTACTTATACCACTAAAAATATAATGTCTGTACCTGGCCTCCAAGCCTCTTTAGTTCCCTGTTATGACTATGAACAGAGGGCAGCTTAATCTAGAAGATGTGTCACTACTATAATCATGGATTCTTCCCCACCTAAACTCTATAGGTGAGCCTTGTATGTCAGGTTTGCATAGGTTAAATGAATTATGCTTTGTAGCAATGTTACACTTTAAATTAGCAAGGCGCTCTCATCTCAGACATGTAATTGTGTACAAGACAGAATGAAAATTGAAATATAATTTCTGCCTTTAATTTTTTTTTCTATTATTTACTATCATAAGTAGAGCTGAACAGTATGGGGTTTCTAATCCATATCCAGGAGTCTTAGAGACCTGCACTGATATAGTTTGGGATTGCATGTTTTTATTCTTTGGACATGCTGTATTTGAACTTTCCTGGTAAGATTGCTCTTTGAAAGACACTGGCTTTACCTTGTAAGTAGTGTTTAGAAAAAAGAAGTTTGGAATATAACATTCTCCAATGACCACAGGATACAAACACATTTCAGAGGTGCATGATCCCTTTTTCTGTGGTCTAATTTAGGAACTCTGACCAAATCTGTATAACATATAACTTTATATCCTTCCTTTAAGATAAAAATACCATTGGAAACCATCCGTGTTGTTGTAAATACCTTTTCTTTCTGATCTGAGTGTGCAAGTTCTATAGTCATAGTAAATACTAAAATAAAATTCTTATGTTTATCTACCTTGTTCATTGATATTTGACTTTTGGATTATTTTCTTCCACCTAAATAGAAATTTTGTAACTAATATTGATGTAACTACAAATAAAGCAATTGCTCTTTGGTTTGTAATTCCAATTAGATGTGTTAGAAGCCTGTCCAGCAGGAGTTTATTGAGGGCCACATTGTAGCTTGTCCTAATGTAGCCTCAGAAGTGAAAAGTGTAATTTGAGACCTTGGGCATATTGTGACATTTGGTCCCTGTGGTCCCATATCTGTGCTGAGCCCCTTCCCCCAGTTGGAGTGGCAGAGCTTCCTTCTCCCATCCCAGACAAGTAGAAGCATTGGTATAGGGCATGTTCTGCTTCATTTCATATGGCCATCAGATATAGCATGTACGAGTTCTTTCTAGTTATCCAAAAGGCAGGAGTAGCAGCAGGGATCACGGGGAGGATCAGGGGAAGCAAGAGGTCCTTTGTGGCCCAGGATTTTATGTTGGCTTCGGCTTGCTTGCTAACCTACACTCTTCTTAACCTGGCATACCAGTTCTATCCCAGGGTGGTGCTGTGAGAGTATCACAACATTGGTCCTGGGACTAACATCCCTTGGTAATAAACCTCTTAGAGAAACAGTTCCAAGCTGGATACAATCTCAGAAAACATTAAACCAGTCAATAATGTTTTCATGTTTTTCTCTGTAGCTATAAGGGCTATCAAAAAAAGAGAAAAAGAAAACTGAGATTTACAACTATGTGATATAACCTTAACAGAACCCTATAGTATATATGCCTTAAACTATCATCATGTCTTGATAAGGGGGAGTGGGATACCTATTTTTGTCCATTGGATCTGGAGCATGGAGTAAAGGGGAAGCAATGACTCCTTTTTACCAAGCAACTGGGTGGAGTGTAGTAAGGGTTGGACAGAGCCAAACCTCCGTTTCTTATCCCCAATATGGCACACAACAGAACCCAGCTGGTGCAAGAGAACTTCTTGGTGGAAACTAGTGTTAAAATTCTTCCTTCCCTTGAGCAAGAGGAGAATTGGAGAGAAACTGACTCTCTAAGTTCAATTTTCTGTCCTGTATTCATCATGGAGTGGAACTGTACTGCCCCATACTCATGGCATTGAACAAAGGCTGATCTTGTCTTCAGTGATGAAAGCATAAGTGAGCAATTTTACTAATCATTCTTGACAGGGAGCTCATTACCCTCTTACAACTGAATGTTTTGCAAAGGTGGCTGAATGAAGAGATTTTGTTTGCAGTTTGAGAGTTTGCCATAGTAGGTATAGAACTTTGATTGTAGAAATAAAGCTTGAAAATTAATTATACTTTTTTCAGTATTTTGATAGAGGTATTGAGACCTGAGTTTAGATGTAGGTTTGGGGATGGCAAATGCTAAAGATCCACATCACTAACCTTTCTTCTAATAATGCTGTAGCTGTTCGTTGATAGGTTCTTAGTTTATTTTACTAAATAAAGTCACTTGTGTGAGAACTCAGGGTAAAATGGCCCAATGTGAATTCTACTCATTAGTCATAAACGTTATTCAAACTCTTTGGCCTTGATTTTTATCCGGTTCTCCAATGTTGCAAGCATAATTTTGCATGCACAAATTTGTTGCCAGAACATTTATCTACATCTACCTTTGCACCTATTTAGGCATTTCAATACATAGCTTGCAGGTACAACAGTAATCACAATGGCATTGTAACTGCAGTAATTTGAGACCAATATTGAGAATTTAGGTATCTGTAACTGACTATTTACATATGCACTTACCTTGAAAAGTAAATATCCTCCTAAGCAAAGATGATGACTATTATTCAGTAATATCCTTCGCTAATGATGTAATAAATGATAAAGGAAAACAGTTTCAAGCCCTACTCTAATAAAGAGTCATATTATAATGTATATTAAATTTTATTAATATTTCTTTGTAGGTCTGACAGCAGCAGCTGCAGCAGCAGCAGCTGCCACCAATGCAGCCATAGCAGAGGCAATGAAAGTGAAAAAAATCAAATTAGAAGCTATGTCCAATTATCATGCCAGTAATAACCAGCATGGAGCAGAGTCTGAGAATGGTGATCTGAATTCAAGTGTTGGTGAGTTTCAAAAACAGACACTACATTCTTACATGCCAGTAGTACAACAGTATTTTCCTAAATTAATTATTCCTTTTGGACCATTAAACTTTTGATGAGGTGAAAGAAATTGCATGTTTTGTAGGTCTTTCAATTATTTTTAGGTTTATTTATATGGAGGGTTTCAGGAACACCCAGCATTGTTGTTACTATTTAAAAACCCATCATTTTCTTTGCAGGTTACTATTGCAGATGCCAGTTAATATTTTCTATGAAAGAAAATGGTTTGATTACTTGGAGTTCATTTTTCAAAGTACAGGTGGGGGTGACAGATGATGGTGTCAGAGCAAAATTTAACAATGTCTCCAATTTGGTGTACTGGGTATTGACTTTAGGTAATTCAGAACAGAAGCTGGAAAGCAAAATATTTCACAGTTTCATGTGCCTTGTGACAAAAGGAAAACATACAGACACAATAAATTATTGCCAAGCTTTATGGTTCCTATAATATTTTATTTTAATAAACACATTATTAAAATGTAGTTAACAGGTTTTCCTGTTTCCTCAATAGTCATTGGCAACTATTATTTACTAAAAAGGAGTGGTTTCAGTATGTTTTATGCATTTGCCTGGCTAGTTTGTTTAACTAAAACATACTTCAAAGTAGCCTAACATTTTGTTAATTAAATCTTTAGTCATTTATGTATCTTTTCAACAAAATATTTTGTTACATGATTTCATTTTATTGGCTGGATCCTTTTATCAGGCCAGATTCTACTAACTTAGCAACAGAAATTCAGTGACTAGAAAGTATGCTTATGATACTATCGCACCTAAGGTCATAAAGAAATCAGATGGCTCATGACAGTTCAAGAAATTCCTAATCCTCTAACCCTTCCTCCCATTCCCCATATTCTATATACTTTTTTTTAGATTATTTTTAAGCATAAATAGTGGCTTGCTTTCCTTCACCAAAAATAAAATGCATGAATCCTGTTTCAGTACATTGCAGTAGGTATTCATAGTTCCTATTAAAAGAGAGATAATGTGGACTGCAATGAAAATGCAGTGTTTGCCCTCCACTCTACCACCAAAATACAGAAAATGTTATACTTTACTCATCCCTATCCAGGCAACTGTGATGGTTTTTTATAATCATGGAAAAGCTCTTACAAAAGCTTCTCATTGGATGGTAAAGAAAGAACCCCCAGACCAGTTTTACAGCCACATAGACACCAGCACAAAAAATCTACAGAGCACTAAAGGGAAAATGGTCCCCTTGGCAGGAAGGCAGGAATGGGTAAATAGCAGGTGTTGTTGAAATTTGAGGGGAGAGAAAAGGCAAAGTAAGGCAAATAGTGAGTTGCAGAGAGCAGGTGGCTCACAGACTTCTGAAAGAAGATGAAAAGCGCAGAAAAAAAAAGGAGATAGAGAAAAAGGAGATAGAGAGAGAGTGTTAGCATTGCCCACTGAAAGGCAGGAATGGATGCTGGACACAGTGTAGATATGGGGTTAACAATGGTTTTGGGCAGTGCCAAAAATACACACAACCTCAACTTGCAAAATATTGGCATGCCAGGGATGGGCAGCGGGGGAACCGCAAAGGGCCTGATCCTTGTTGGGGCAACACAGCCCTGGCCCCTTCCCTGCCATCCGCCCTGAAGTGTGTGCGCCAAGCAAAATGTCTTCACATGCCGTGCTCTGGCACCTGCACTGGGGGTTGCCTACGCCTGGTATAGATCATGAATCAAGGACTCAGATGTATACATCATATGAAATAAAATATTTATGTGTTGAGTGATGGGATTATAAATCTATTCAACATTTTGGGAGTCAAAATCCATATGTGTACATTTTAGTTGTTGATAACTAACACCAAATAGACAAATGGAGCAAAGTATTTTTGTGTGATAGCTAAGAAGACTGTTTGGGGCTGGATAAACAGCTAATTGTCTTTCTACCTTAAAATGATCATTGTTGGAAATGTAATTTGGAGACATTTAGTATGATACATTTTGATGACTTTGGTGAAAAAAGTAAAATCTAGTTGCAATGGATAGTAACATAGTACTTTGTTTTTCCAGAAAGATACCTGAACATTCACTCACTCTTAATACAGTACTCTCATTTTTACTGTCTTCCTCTATATTGTACTTGTCAGGGCATCTTGGTTAAGGAGTTTGTTTTCTTTTTTAGCATGTTTTACCTAGTATAGGGTGTAATATGCTCTTATGGAACTGTAGAAACGAGAACCTCTAGTAATACTAGTCAGGCACAGACAAAAACGTCTCTAATTAGGATATGTAAGAATAAACTATAATGATTTAAAAAGTCTGTAGCATCTGTGATCCTTGCATTCAACTAAGATCATCAGATCAAAGCTATGCTACAGTGTTTTTGAGAAGGTTTTGGCAGATACTATTAATAACATTGGGACAGAGATTTTAAAGACAAAAAGGGTGGATAGGAGTCTGAATCAGATCGACTACAATTAGAATTAAGTATCCAGTTGCCTTCTTTTTTTCTTGGAAAAATCACCACCAGAGCGTGTAAATCCACATAGCCTATGTTTTGTTTACCTAGATATCTAGAAGAATGGTCATTGAGTATATTAATAATGATTTAAAATATAATCTGTCGAACACAAATGTTGACTATGGTATTGGTAGGGAGTTTAGAAGGGGTAAAAGAGAAGAAAAAGTTATTTGATTTCAGTTTATATTTGAAGTTACATGATGTACCTGACCAAGCCCAATAAAAGTAAGAAAATTCAGGGTTAAAGATGAACTAATGTAACTCTCACTCCATTTTATTGTGCCACTGCAGCATGTTTAATGTGCACAATCATACCTTGTTCTCAGGCTCCTATAATACCTATGCAAAGTAAGGCAAATTAAGTATGGAATCTCAAATTGAATTGTCAGTTTTAGTTTTGAATCGTCCTGCATTTTTGCTTTTAATCAGACACTTAATGTGACTTATGGAAGTCATTTTTGTGGCTGAACATTATACAATTATGCACAGCACTACACAAATTTATTAACTTGGTACATTGAATCAGTGGCCAAAAGGTTAGTGAGTAAAGGGAGTTAGAGGAAGCCAATGATACTAATAAGTAATTATTTTATCCCTCAGTTTTACATGGTAACCTTGAGCTCGCATCCTCCCATCAGAATTATCATTTTAGGAGGGGAAAAAAAGAAATCATGGAGGAATCAGAGTGAGGTATTAGCACACTGAGTAAAATATATGGCTGCAACGCCTTTCTCCCCCATCCACAATCAATTGGATTCTTTTAGTTTAATATTTACTTGCTAAGATGAGATGCTAGTCTGCATGGTGATAAACAGTCTGCTACTGGCATCTGAAGGTGACCTGTCAGTTCATATGGACAAATCTCCTGCTTACTGAAATGTACAAAATAAATCATTAAAGCAGGCAGGTGCTCATTCCCAGATTTAAATCACCATAGATTTATGATTTGAATTAATGCTTCATTTGGTCATAGAAATAGATGCTGAGACAAATGATATGCAGTGGTTGGGGCTTCCATACTGTAGCCATCCTAATATTGATTACTGAGATGTCTTTGCAATCTCTTGTTTATATCAAGTACTGTCTTGTGACAGGTTGGCTGATATGAGCTACATTGCAGATAAGAAGGAAAAATGTTCTGGGTTCTTTTTAGTGGCAACTCTCCACACAACATGCAGGGCCGATACATTATTATTTTGTGTTTAAAGAATGATCTTCATAAACTAGCAATCAAAAGTCTGCTAGTCTAGGATCGTGGTCTTTTAAATGCTGGATTAAAAGAAGAAAGCTCACAAGGTCAAATTTAAATTTGCTTCAAGCGATTCTGCTGTTTGTAGTATTAGCAACTTCCAATTATAGTATGATCAGTAATGCTCATTTTAATGCATATACCAGCTGATTGTACCTCTGCATTTTTCATGTAGTAATATACAAACAGGGAGTATCTCAGTTATTTCTAAACTTTTAAAACTCTTACTTCACTTACTAGCCTACTTTATATATATAAAGTAGCAACAGAAAGAAGCCTTTTAAGGTAAACACAGTTAAAATAATTCTTGTAAGCTAGTCTTTGTCTTCAGCTTATTAGGAAGTAGGACAAACCCCCTATATTTTCATTTCCCTTAATATTTTATATAACGAAAGCACTACATATACAGTTTAGGGAATACTCCAAGGATTTGTGAGGACCTTTGCCACTGACTAATATCTGACTCATAGAACTGGTAAACAGCTATCAACAATAGTAAATTACTTGCTTAGTAGGAAATGAGTTCATATCTATTCAAAATGTGATCTCAAAACAGATGTCCCAAGAAAATGTCATTGTTTAAACTACAGTCATACAAAAAAATTGCCATTATTTCTTTAAGGAAGTGAAGCAATCATAAAGACTGTGGAGTTCTCCGTTTCTAAACACGGTTAGGAAATACAAGACAGCATTTTACATTTAGCTAGTACAATAATCCATAAACAACTGCAACGTGTTGAAAATTAAGAGGTGGTCTTGACATATTAGGTTTCCTTTTCATCTATGTTAGTTTACAGCATTTAAACTGTGAGGCATATGTGAGGAAAGCCAAGATTTGGTGCCTGAAATTAATAGTTGCATTGCTTAGATTATTGTTTTCTATCCCCAAAAACAGTGATAAAGGCATTAAGATTAAATTATTTTTCCCCAGTGACCTCCCCCACAATAGTACAGTGCAAAATGTGGTCATTTCCTTTCTCTAAACACGTGTGTCTATTTTGAAGGAAAGAATTACTTCTATGGTTTGAGGAAAAAGTCTTGGAGACCTTGAGAAAGCAAATAAAAGGAAACAGAGAATGCAGGCCACTGAGCACAGCTCTGCAGTTGCACATCTGATTCTCTGCCTTGGCAATGTTAATGAACCTCAAATCCTCCCTATAATTAGATGAGGGAATTGCTTATATTTTCAAACAGATGATGCTGCTATAATGAAACGATTGACAGGGAACTTAAGAGT